GAGATCAACGCTGTTTGCCGCTGCCGCTCACCATCACCATTCGCCACTGCTCACTGCCGCTGTTCACCGTTTGCCACCACTCGCCACTGCCGATTGTTGCTGTTGCCAATTGCCACTGCTGCCATTTTGTAGCAGTTATTGGTGGCGATTGGTGGTGGTGAATGGCAACAGCAGTGACAAGCGGTGGCGGTGACAGGCAGCAGTGGCAAATGTTACACTGCACCAACCCCCTCCCCCTTCCCTCATTAATTTTCTCTCGATAGCACATTTCCATCCAATTTGTGTGGGGAGGGGGGGGAATGCATCTTATAGTGAAAAAAATACAGTGAATTAAAAATGGATAATTCCTAACTCAGAACTAAATGTTTTGAGTGCTAATAATATACCAGATACTCTGCATAATGGCATGTGGTATAAATAACAGTGTTTTTTCCTATTTAATCATGTCCAATTCTCAGAACTACCCTGACAAGTCCCTGCAGTTTTTTTGGCAAGGTTTTTCAGAAATGGTTTGTCATTGTCTCCTTCCTAGGGCTAAGAGAGTATGACTTTGTGCCTAAGGCGGGACTATAACTCATGGTCTTCCAGTTGATACAGCGGTCAAATACAGTTTATTAATAGTTAATTCCTTGTCTCAAATTGGATTCTAATTTACCCGTTCGTTTTACAGGAAGTGAAATCAATCTACCTTTCAGCGTACCGCAAAGTTGACAATGTCTCATCATAGCATATGTCTGCTGGACTAATTGCTGCAATCTAGAAATATGTAAACATATTAAATGTGAATACATTTTCATGGAACTTATTTTGTTATTGTTATGAACATTACTCACAGAATGGAAATTGCTAACTGGCAGTGTCATGGCTACCCCTGGAGAAATGCTACCCAGTCAGTATTTGTGGAAAAGACACAGATTGAAATATTGGTCCACTGTGGAAACAGCAGTCAAAATCTTTGATAGTGTAACATTTTTATGTAAATAAAAAAGGCAAGCACACTTTCTAAGCCAGGGCTCCCCAATCCCCCCCCCCTCGACCACAACCTATTTGGAATTGGGCCATGTGAGGGAACGGCTGGAGCATGCACATGCGCAGCTCAACTTGTCTGAGCAGGGGGCCAGTGGGCACTTTCAGCCACTCTTCGCACAAGTCGACCTGTGCACATATGCCCACCACTTGTGCAAGGGCTATGTTCCTCTCTCCCCCCACAGCCGGGCTTCCAAGCTGCAAAGGTTTGGAACTGCTGTTCTAAGCCCTTAATATTTTGTGATTTTAGCACTTTTTATGGTCTAACCATAACCCCTAATTCAACCTTGGAACTGCAAAAAACCAGATGACGCAAAGTTAGAATTTGTTTTTTATCCTTTACATATCATTTATCATCCATTATCTATCTCTATCTCTGCCTCTGTCTATCTCTGTCCATCCGTCCGTCCATCCATCCATCCATCCATCCATCCATCCATCCATCCATCCATCCATCCATCCATCTCATGTCATTTATATCCTGTTACAACTTTATGCATACTCTAGTTCAGGCATGTCCAACTGCGGCAACTTTAGGACTTGTGGACTTTAACACTCAGAATTACCCAGCCATAAGAGTAGATAAAAATCTATGAAGAATTAAACAATTAGTCTCAGATTAAATAAATTATTATTGTTCCCTTGATCAGAAATTTGCATACAGATAGTCCTCGACTCACAACCATTTGTTTAGTGACTATTCAAAGTTATAATGCACTGAAAAATTGACTTATGACTATTTTTTGCACTTACAAGCTTTGCAGCATCCCCATGGTCAAAATTCTGCAATCAAAATTCTGATGCTTAACAACTGACTCATATTTATGATGGTTGCGGTGTCCTGGGGTCATGTGATCACCTTTTGTGACCTTCCGACAAGCAAAATCAATGGGGAATCCAGATTCACTTGAAAACCATGTTGCTAACTTAACAACTGCAGTAACAACTGTGGCAAGAAAGGTCATAAAGGTCATAAAAGATGCCAAAACTCACTTGCCAACCGCCTCAGCAACAGAAATTTTGGGCTCAGTTGTGGTCATAAGACAAGGACTACCTGTATTTTAGACTATCTGTATCTGAGTGGATGACTGAATAAGAACAAAATGCTTGGCAAGTTTGAAGGAAATAGGAGGGAACGTCCAGGATTAGGAGGACAGATGGGATCAAAGAGATGACTTGAGTGTCCTCCTAATTTCTATGGATGCTAGGTAAGATAATTTTTTTTCATACTGTCAGCAAAGGCTGAGTCTTGGACAATGCTAACACACTTTCTTCTTTGCTTTTTCCATCCTTCTTGAGGGCTCCTTTTGAACTATTGATTTATATATTTTGCCTTTAAAGCCCATATCATCTTTGAGAGCTTATGTCGGCTGTTCTCCCCTAATTTTATTTCAATGACGACAATCCTGTGAAGAAACTTTGGCTAAGAATGACTGATGGGCCTAATCATCTAGTGAATTCCAAGGTTGAGTGGTAACTTGAACCTGAAGCCCAGCATCTCAAAGGGCACACAACATTAAACCAGAAAGTTATTATGAAGAACAAAACAGTATGGGGGCTGATGGGAAGCACACCAATTCACCTAAAAGAAAATTCCCTTCCCTTTGAAATTACTGTACACCTGTTATATGGACTAGAAATTCATTTAAGTAGCTCATAATGATTTGAAAGCAAACAAATGTGCATTTTGTTTTGCACACAGTTAATGCAAAGTGGCAAAGGAGCTCTGCACTGTAAGCTAATAGACAGCCTCTTCTAACCACAGAGTACACCTCTTCCACCCAAATGAGTTCACACACACAAACACACACAAACAAAATTAGGAGCTTCAGGTGGTGGAAAACCTGGCTAGAGAGATTCATTCTCAACACCTGGAGAGGAAGGCACAGAGTCAGAGGCCAGCATGCTGACTGGTTTTCTCATTATCTGGGAGTAAGAGTCACTGAACTAATGGGATTTCTCTAAAGTAAGCAGCCATGCATTTCATTGGAACAGTACTTCACTGTATTTGTAGCCCGTAAAAGTCTCTCCTGGCCTGTTTACTAGTTCTGTGTTTCACGAATCATGTCCACACCAGAGCTTAGAAAGAGTAAACTGGTTTAAACAGAGCCACCCCAGCATAGCAATAGGCTATAATGTGTTCCTACTTATGCAAGCATCGAGGCATGGATTCAGTGGGAGTTACTACAGAGTAAGTGTGCATTTGTTTATACATTTTGATGATTGGCAATCAGTCTCCCACAAAAGCCCTAAGAAGCCCCTGAAAAGTTAAATAAGGTAGGATTGACTGGAGTTTCTTGATGAATCCTTCAGAAACTGGCATTTTGTTCTGTTAAAGCTTTAACTTTGGTTTTGTTTCCAGGTGCATATGCTTATATTGCTACTGGTACTTCGAGAAAAGCATAAAAGAATGGTGGAAGAGGAAGTCCAAATAGAATACCTTGCAGCTGTATATTCCTTCTTGTGTGAGATCATTGTGTAATTCCTTCTTGTGTGATAACCACTATTTTCTACCATGTTGCTTTAGGAGCATAAGCAGCTCCCTTTTTTCTTGCATTTATAAACTTGGGTATTAGATAATGCTTTGAGTTTTCATTTAGTGGTGGGGGAATTAATTTTACAAGTCTGCCTTATTTTACAGGCTATTACTTTTAATAAGTAATCACTAAATATTAATATAAGTTTTGACTTGGTTCTGTCTTGTATGGCTTTTGGGCTATGGATATCTAATCTAATCAATTATAAACGCTTGCAAGAATACAAGGAGCTTGCTACAATATATCATATGTTGGGAAAATAGGAAGGTGTAGTGGATATATTCTCCTCCTTGAGTTATTTGTAAAAATAATAAAGGTGGTATACAAATGAATACTTTACTGAGAGGAAAAGTAACCCTTTCAGTAGGGCTTTACAACCCTAGCTGGGAGAAGCAATTTCTCTTCTCCACCTGTGCCTGATATTTTTTAATGAGCTACTTTAGTAAGCAGATAATGTATATAAACAGATGAGTTTGAAAAACTCATGATAGTCAAATCCTGGCTAGTGCCAGTAGGAAATGGCATGGCTAGGAAGTAAAAGAGCAAAATTCCCAAAGCCAGCAATGCTAGGCATTTCTGCATTGTATCACTAAAGAAAACCATGTGGATGCCTTATGGAATCAAGAGGAAACAAACATAGTTTAAGATGGGTAGAAAGTAGATGTCCCCCCACCCCATACACACAATTTTCAACCTCCACAAGACAGGATATATGGAATAACACATTACCATTATAGTTCTACTGTTTCCTCCCAATGCGGATTGCAAAAGTTTGGTAAGAACTGAATCTCTGTATGGGACATGCAACACTTTCTTTCCCATGGCAGCTTCAGCCAGAGCACTAAAAGGAGAATGAAAGATGGGAAAAGGCAATCAGATTTTTTTGTTTTAAAAAATGCAGTTGAAGATCTAGGGGACATAGACCAGACCAGTGGTGGGTTATGACCGGTACACCCTGGTACGGGCGTATCAGTGCCTTCCAGGAGCACTGGGTACTGTTCTGGTATGGTGCTCCAGGGGGCCCACACGCCCAGCTGCCGTCCTTACCTGTATTTGAGCTCTTCGGGGCTTCTGCGCATGTGCACAAAACGTACAGTGCCTATGCAACACTCCACCGAACACCTGGAGCATCACGGAGGCACCGTGGAGCATTGCAGATGGTAAGTACGCATGCGTGCACTGCGCACATTCATGTGGTGGACGCCAGGCCCCGTTGCCCCATACCAGTTGCACTGGGATCCAGAACCCACCACTGGATCAGACCAAGTGTTTTTGTACAATAATCAATGACATTCACTGGGCATACGAATAGTAAGGCATTATCTAATTGAAAAATATTGTACTCTGATTTTAGCTTACCCTTTAGAGCAGGGGTGTCCAATCTTGGCAATTTTAAGTCTTGTGGACTTCAACTCCCAGAATTCCCCAGCCAACATGGAATTCTGGAAGTTGAAGTCTACAGGTCCGCCAAGATTGGACACCACTACTTTAGTCATTTCTCCCACCCCAATAAATAAATAAAAAAGCATCAGTAGAAGGATTACAGATGGGAGACGACAGTGTCTGGACTGCCTCCACCCCTGACCCTCCAATAAGGCTAGGCAACAGAAAGTAATAGTATATTAATATTATATTATCAATTAACGGGTAAATTATACTTTTGTATTCAAGACATCTGTTAATCACAGGAAAAGGTAACCATTTTAAGAGATAAAACTGATGATGTCACTTTTAAGACCTCTCCAGCCCACCATGGATGCAACTTAAGTGCATATTTATTCATATTTTACTCCACAAAATTGTGGAGACATAATCAGGGACTGAAATGTGACCAACCCCTGATGACTGCTGCAGCCTGCTCCTCTATGCCACATATTAAAAAAGAATACAAGACAAGACACATGTTTAAGCAAGTTTTTTCAGAAGAACACTAGATCCATAGCCTGAGTTGTAGTAAGTTGCACAGAGGAATGATGCTGCTAGTGACTTATCATTTAGGTCAGGGTTGTCAAACTCCTGGGCCATGGGTCAGATGCATCACATGCTGGCCACACCCATGCCCGGTTTAGCGAAGGGGGGGAAAGTCCTGATATGTCATGTGATGCCGCCATGACTATGTGAGTTTAAAACCCCTGATTTAGATAATTTTAAAAGTGGCTAAAGCTGTGCCAGTTGTAATCTGAGCCCAGGCTACCATAGGCTTACAGTGATTGTTGGTTGCTTTTTCCTCCAGAAGGTGATTCTTCAGGGACAACAAAAATGCAGCTGGGGAATCCAAAGATTGCAACTCTTAAGTTGTTTTGTGTCAAAACTGGACATCACCAGTCACCAGCACTGTGAGAGGGGCACAGTAGCAAGGCAGCAGAGATTATGTCAGTATACTTTTTATTGGCAGAATTAGTGTTAATGCAACTGTGAGGAAGAGCCAATACATAGATCAGATTACTACATAGGTTGTGTACCTGATGACATTTCCCAAGGTGGTCAAACTCAGATTTACACGTGTTCCTTCTTTTAGTCTGTCGCCTTCTGATCCGGAAGACTTTTGCCTTTCACTCCCTGCCAAGTCCACTAGATTTATAATGGACTGTTTTGTGATTTCATCTTTCAGAAAAATCTGCAGGAAATAATATTGAGAAAGGAAATGGGCAGTGTTGACCTGGTATTTCAGAAATGCTGTAAGTTCTCATTCTCTTATTGATATTGATGTAAGAGACATTGCCGTACTCAGTATCTCCATCAAAATATACAACAGGCTGATATTATCAGAGATTAAACGTAAAATAAAAATAAGAACATACATACAACAAATAATGTCATTCAACATGTTGTGGGAACCCAGCTACTGTATGTGAATATAGTAATAGTATGTCATTAATTTGGATTCAGGGTTTAGAAGTCAGCTTATGTGGCTCAACTCACCATTCAGACATCACTTTCCAATTTAACGTAAGACATAAACAAACCCATACTACAGGTCAAATTTCCATGGGTTAAGAAAACGGTCTTTGAAGAAACATACGTTTTTCATGGACTTTTAGAACAGGCAAATGTTTTCTCAAAATAGCCGTAATTATCTGGGCCGTAATTATCTTGTTGCGTATGCATGCCATATTTGGCTAGTCTGCAACTGTGGCTTTCCTGTACCTGTTTAAAATGAATGGTGATGACCATATGAGACCTGCTGCTGGTGGTATTCATGCTGGTTGAAGCGTTGGTCCTTATTTTGGTGCCTTGCTCCATGAGCCTCTCAATTTGAGCATAACTATCACAAGGCACCAGTTTCAAACCATCTACATAGAAGCCTTGCTGCTGGTCTTCTCTAACTTTGAGTCCACCATACTTTTTTGTTTTAGACAGCAAATCTATTACCTGGAAGGGCAGAAAAAGTTAATTTCAAAACGGGAAAAAGATAAGCTGCCATTTCATGGAGAAGGCCATTCTTAAAATTTAAAGATTTTAAGCGAACGGGTTGATTAAATGAAATTGCAGATAAATGCAAAACATGTCTTAACATTTTCAATGGTTATAAGGCCCGTATATTTCCTTCTGTTGGCTGCACATGACTATGCAGCAATATTCAAATCAGCATTCTAAACCTGGTATCTTTCAGATATACTGGAGTTCCAACCCTCTTTGATTCTCCCTGTGGGAATTCTAAGACTGCCTAAAGATGTATGGATCATATTGTGGGGGTTCTCTAACATTTATGTTTTAAACATGCAAAATAAATGACCAGTAGCAATGATTCAGATTGTTTGGTTCATATATCAAATAAAATTATTTTAATTATATATAATAGTAACACTTGAAGAAAGTTAAGTTGGACAAGATGATTGAGAGTCAATTCTCCCCTCTCTAACTGCCCCTATGTGGCATGTTCAGTTTTCTATTTTAACCCTCCCTCTGCAACATGATCCTTGAATTCTTAAAGACTGCCTTGACTAGAGTGTAATATATTTCTCTTATGCTCAATATTTTTATTTGATTTGATTAGTGTATAGTAGCTGCCCAGAGAACCTTTCACCGTGTATTTATAAATCAGAATACTCCTTGATAATTCCACCAAGAATTACTGGGTGGTGTATTAACCCCTAGATCAGGGCGTCAAACTTGTGGCCTCAGATACATCACACGCTAACCATGACCATGCCCGGTTTAGTGAAGGGAAAAATTGCAATATGTCATGTGATGCTGCCATGATGACACAAGTTTGACATCCCTGTCCTAGATGACTTCTGATTTGTTGGCTAAAACCAGTACATTAATGGATCAAGCATTGTTCTTGATTTGGCAAAGAAAATATAAATTTATCAAATAAAATTGGCTTTCACTTAGAGAATCCCTGACATTCTATCAACCTACAAATGAATGCACAGAGCAGAAGATCTTACTTAAGACCATCTAAAAGGATTCTCCAAATAATATTTTTCCGAGTGAACATATCTTGAAATGCATTAGCATATTCACATTCAGTAACCTGGTAAGTGACCTGTTTTAATTAGGCTTGCTGCATAGAGTTGGAATTTTATGGCAGCTTCTTTCCTTTATCCTTCCTTTTTCCTCTTTCTCAATAAACTCCTTTTCACAATCTGTAGGGTGGACTTCATTGGTTTTGTAATGGAATTTCTCATAAAACCTTCCTTGTGTTAAAGATTGCTCAGATACTTAGTGTTTTCCCAAAAATAAGACAGGGACTTATTTTCTTTTGAACCCCGAAATAAGTGCTTGGCCTTATTTTCGGGGAAGTCTTATTATTTTTGAGGTGCAAGAGGCGGCGAGTTGTCACCTCATGGCTGCTGCTGTGTTGCAATATTTTAAGGGAGGGCTTATTTTTGGGGAGGGCTTCTTTTAGCGCATGCACTCAAAATTCTGGGACAGAAAAACATGGATAAGTTAAGAATTGGAAAATATGGTATTAATATTGTACGAAAGATAGGAATTGGATATGTATATGTACTGATAGTAACTATATCATGAAAGGGATTACTATGTAGATAATTTGTCTGACCACACATACTATGTAATGGATACAAACTGTTATTGCTGTAAGATCAAAAATTCCATGGAAATGACTATGGTGAAATACCTCAGTATGTCCAACATTTTTAATCTTTGCCTAATAAAAACTTTTTTTTAAAAAGCCCTATTGGGCTTATTATCCGGGGATAATATGAACTCTAGCTACGCTAGTGTCTCGGGATTGGCACAAGATTTACTCAGCTTTGTGTTGTTAAGAGTACCTTCCTTTTATTTTTGGGCAATATGAAGGGAAGAGCCGAGGTGGCGCAGTGGTTAAATGCAGCACTGCAGGCTACTTCAGCTGACTGCAATTCTGCAGTTCGGCTGTTCAAATCTCACCGGCTC